GGAAGGGGGGGAGGGGGTTTCCTGACGACGTATCGGGGGAAAAGGGGGGTCCCAACCCCTCCCTCCCCCTTGGGGTCATCCAGCGGCGCGCCCTCCATAATTTGTGCGGTCGGCCACTGGGGGGCACGAGAAGAAGTGTGCTATATACACATCAGTGAGACCATACTTTGCAGTTTGATTGTTGAAGGTGTGGCAAACTACAGGTTATCAGCCGAAGCCTCTCCCTAGGCCCACTGCAGCTTCTTTGGGACCGTGGTGCGCCCAACGCAGGGGTTCGGTGGCGCACGCCCCTGGGCCCATGGTTCGGCTTGGCTGTAGGTGGACGCGGAAGGCGCCAGACGCGTGCAGTGGAGCTGCAGCGAAGAAGTGGCTGACAGCGCCCTGCACGGGGGCCGCGGGGGGGCTGCAGCATGCAGAGAGCATGTCAGACGTTGCTGCGAGCGTGCGCAATTTGTGAAGCCCGCGGGAGGAGTGGCTGTATGTGGCTATTCGTGCACCATCCCGGCCTGACAGTGGCATTGAATCGCGGGGCCGTGTAATATATTGGCATGTGCGAGCCCGTTCTTCACGAAGTGCGCAGGCAGCCCTTAGGGCGCACGCGTCCCTGGGCAAGAAACACCCCATCAAAATGGGTGCGCTCTGCCTGTGGGGGCTGGCGCACGAGAAGAAGCATGTGAAAGACACATCAGTGATACCATACTTTGCAGTTTTGTTGCTGAAGGGATGACGGACTACAATATTGGCCCCTCGGGTTCGAAGCGCGACTTGTGAATTTCCATCCGTGAACTTTCGTCCTGGCCTCTCCCTGTTTTTTAGCCTCTCCGCTCGCTGGTCTCCGCTCCTTTCCTCCTCCCCAGGATTCCTTTTGCAAACAGGCCGTTCTAAGATGCCCCCCTCGCGGCAATTCCTTCATAGTCCCTCCACTCACCGGGGAGCAGCAGGAACATGCGAAATAACTGTTCGATCGCAGAAGGAACATGAGCACGTGTGCGAGCAGGGTGCGAGAGGGAGGATCGTGTGGCTTGCCGTCGAAGGGTGCCAAGATATCCCAAGGGCACTGGCGCACCACTGGCCGCTCTTGGTACAGTTAGTGGACTGATGTTGTAGTGCCTTTTCAATTATGTAGGTTCATTAGCGTTAGTTCTGGTCGAGGCTTGAAAGCATGGAACGCGCCCCTGTTTCCGGCATGGGCTGCTGGATCGCCCTCGATTGATAAGACATGGGCGCCTGAGCGCGCGCAGTGGGCTGCTTGAGCGCTCGCGCTCGATAAGCGCGAGGTGCTGGAGCGCACCCCTGTCCTCGGCATGGGCTGCTGGAGCGCCGGCGATCGATGAGAGCCGGGCGCCGGAGCGACACCCCGCTTTGGGGTTTGCACAGCTGCATAAGATGGGCGGGTGGGAGGGTCCGGGGGGCGGGGGCGTTGGCATCGAACCCGCGCTGCGTTTTGAAATGGCGTGTTCTCATGGGTGGGTGGGCGGGTGGTCCCGGGCGACTGGGTGGACACGGGTGCGTGCGCGTTTGTGTGCGTTGGCGGGCGCGCGAGTGTGTCTGCGTGCGTCCACGCGCGCACGCGCGTGCGCATGGTGCGTTTGACGCGTGAGCTAAACGGGTTACGGATGCAGCGACACCAGAAGCATAACGAAGACCTTACAGCCATCGCCGCCGACCCTAAATGGGGACGACGACGACAACGACGACGACGGCGGCGGCGGCGGGGACGACGACGACGACGCTGACGTGGATTAGAGTCCTGGGCAGTTGTGAGGTCTCTTGGGAGCCACTTGGTGTCCTCTCGAGAGCCTCTAGGAAACCTGGGTGGGCTTCCTGGGGGCCTCTTGGGGACCTCCTGGAGACGCTCGAATTTGGTGTGGCTGTTAAGAAAATTCGGCTTTACCGGCAAGTTACATGCTTATCTCATGATTGCAGGTTGGGTACAACATGTTAACATCACTTCTACACCGATGTCTTGTTCGAGGCGGAACAGAGTATCTCTCACGACAATCGCCATGTGGGCTCAGACTTGGGAAACGGTCTAAAGACGCGCTAATGCCAGTAAGGCGCCTGATCGATGCGACGCACTTGGACATTTTGTTTAGGAGAAAATAGAAAACAACAGTTTAAAGACATGCCTGACTGGGCAAGCGCGATTGACAAGATTGCGCCAGATTGCATGTGTGGCGCGCCTCTCTGCTTCTGGATTCTTCCCTGCATGATTCAGCACATGGTTCAACATACGCAGCAAGGTCTTTCACCATACTGGTCCACACTGGCACGTCATCCGAAGGGAACAACATGCTTGTATTGCGCGAGGGTGCCTTCTGTCACCTTACACTAATTCAACATCGGTCAAAATGGGATGCTACATGATGTATTCCGCACTGCTGATCTCCAAATAGAATAGGCATTTATAGTGACGCGCGATATCCTCTACGCTGATGACCCACTTCTTCTCGCACAACACGCTGAAACCTTGAATGGTATTTTGACGGCGATCGTTGCTGAAGTAGAGAAGTACGGACTGGAATTCAACACAGGGAGGAAACGTTTCAAACTCATATCTAGCGACCTTCGGCCGATCCCGCCACAGTGCTTGGGTTCAGGGTCAGAGCCCTACTGGAGCGTCTTGGGGCCGCCCGCTGGAACTGCCAGTGCGTGTTTCCCCGCTGGGGCCTCTCTTGGGGTGGTGTAGGGGGTTCTCATGGGCTCCCGTGGGGCCGTTTTGGATCCCCTTCTGGAGCCTCCTGAGCCGTTTTGGGACGACCTTCGGGGCCTCTTGTTTTTTTTGGGGGGGGGGATGGGGGGGGGGTTCGTCGTATTATCATTATTATCATTGTTATTCTCAGTCTTCTTCGTAATATTATTATTAGTAGTAGCACTAGTAGTAGTAGTAGTAGTACTAGTAGTAGTAGTAGTAGTAGTAGTAGTAGTAGTAGTAGTAGTAGTAGTAGCAGTCGCTTACAATTATCGTCATTCGTAGTAGCAGTAGTATATACTTATCATCATTACTATTTTATTATTATTAGTGTTGTTATTATGATATAGTTTGTTGTGCTAGTACTGTTGTTGTTATTATGATTAGCATTATTGTCATTCCTATTCTTATGAAACTTATATCTGAATATACAACAGAGAGTGACAATCGATGCTTTCCGAGAAAGGAATGGGACGATTTGTTGTTCCCGGAAAGGGCATAGGCCCAGGGTTCTGTTTTAGCTGGTTTACCCTTGGTTTTGACTTGCAGAGGGCCGGCGAAATTATTCTGCGTAAATAACGAGGTAAAGTTTTTTTTTTTTTTTTTTTTTTTTTTTTTTTTTTTTTTTTTTTTTTTTTTTTTTTTTTTTTTTTTTTTTTTATTTTTATTTTATATATATATATATATTATTATTATTATTATTATTATTATTATTATTATTATTATATTATTATTATTATATATTATTATTATATATATATATATATAATATATAATATATATATATATATATATATATATATCTTAAAAAGTGCGTATCGTGCGTTTGCCCCGCTCGAGGAAAGTGCGCCCCCCATCTCGGATCCTCGATAAAAAACGGGGTCCGCAGACCCCCGTTTTCCCTCGTAAAAAAGAGGGTGCGGAGCGTTTTTCGCAGAATCCTCGAAAAATAACGGGGTCTGGAGCCCCGACCGCGACGCGGAAAGCGCCCCGCGCGCAGGAATTCCGAGGATGTCTCGCGCGTGCCGCGTCCCGCGCGCAGGAATTTCGAGGATGTCTCGACTAATTCGCTTGTTTTGTCAGGATTTCTTAGAATTTTGGCAGGATGTCTCGAGCGAAACGCTTGTTTTTCATAATTTGTTGAGGATGTCTCGAGCGAAACGCTGGTTTTGCAAAATTTGGGGATGTCTCGAGCGGGGGCTTCGTGGGGGGCCAGAATTCAGAGGATGTCTCAGGCGAAATGCTTGTTTTCGTGTCCCGCTCGCAGGAATTCCAAGGATGTCTCGCGCGTGCCGCGTCCCGCGCGCAGGAATTTTGAGGATGTCTGGACTAATTCGGTTGTTTTGTCAGGATTTCATAGAATTTTGGGAGGATGTCTCGAGCGAAACGCTTGTTTTTTCACAATGTGTTGAGGATGTCTCGAGCGAAACGCTGGTTTTGAAGAATTTGGGGATGTCTCGAGCGAGGGCTTCGTGGGGGGCCAGAATTCAGAGGATGTCTCAGGCGAAATGCTTGTTTTCGTGTCCCGCTCGCAGGAATTCCAAGGATGTCTCGCGCGTGCCGCGTCCCGCGCGCAGGAATTTTGAGGATGTCCCGTAGCGCGTCCCCTTGGCACGTCCTACGGTGCGACCCCATGGCACGTCCCTTGGCACGTCGCCTGGCGCGTCCCTTGGGACGTTTCGCGGCGCGTCCTCCTGGCATGTCCCCCTGTCAATTAGCTCTGGGGCAGCTACTATGTGTTCAGGCAGCTCGAGCTTCAGATCCAGATCAGTTCGGTCAGGACTCGGATGCAAAGGAGACTCGATCCACGACGCTATAGAGCACAACCGCGGCATGGCACATCGCAATTCAGCACGGTGCAGCACAGCACAGTCCTCGGCACGGTACATCAAGATCGATACAATCAGCATTGCACTTGCCCGTCACCCAATCAGGTGTCTTTGAAAACGTTGCCATGCGTTACATTTCTATATTCCTTTCCGGCTTCGTGGGTCGATCATGTTTTTTGGGGGCCTTTTTGCGGATGCTCTTGAGGGCCTCTTGAGCCATTAGGTGAGCCCCTTGGGCTGTCTTGGGGCCACAGCAGGTCGTCGTGAAACTGTCTTGGGCCGCTTCGGCGATCTGTGTAGCCATCTGACGCAGTTCTGGAGTCGCTCTCGAGTGCTCGGGAGGTCGTCTGAGGCCGGCTGAGTAACTCTCAGGAGTTCCAGGGAATGCTCAGGAGCTCCTCTTAGGCTGCCGTGGGGGCCTCTTGGGCTCTCTTGGGGCCCCCGTGGGCCGTTTCGAGGCCCCTTTCGGAGCCTCATGAGCCGTCTTGGGACAGTCTTCGGGGCCTGTTGGGGCTATCTTGGGAGACTCCTGGTCCTTGTTGAATACTATGAAAGCGGAAAAGGCGAACTTACTGAAAATTAGTATTTTCTAGCAGGAGCGGGACGATGGTTTTGCTTCTTGGGGTCTTCTTGCGGATGCTCTCGTGGACCCTCTGAGGCGTTTGGTGGGCCCCTTGGGGCTGTCTTTGTGCCACAGCGGGACGTCTTGAAACTGTCTTGGACCGCTCCAGGGATCTGTGTAGCCATCTGACGCAGTTCTGGAGACGCTCTCGAAGGCGTGGGAGGTTTGAGGCTGGCTGAGTAGCTGCCAGGAGTTCCCGGGAATTCTCAGGAGCTCCCAGGAGCTCCCAGGGGAAGACAGGCATCCGGAAACTATGGATTTTCTGCCCATTTGTTTGTGTCTCCCCTGGCCCCTTTAGGCCTGAAAGGAGAGAGGACGACCCTGCCCGCCCCAGAGAAGGCGCCCTTGACGCCACGAAGCCGCTGCAGCTGCCCGAGCTGCCCCTGGTGCAGCAGAGGCGGCCGCTGGGGAGCGGGGCGCAGAGACCTTCCTCCCTCCCTCCCTCCCTCCCTCCCTCCCTCCCTCCCTCCTCCCTCCCTCCTCCTCCTCCTCCTCCTCCTCCTCCTCCTACCTCCTCCTCCTCCTCCTCCTCCTCCTCCTCCCTCCTCCTCCTCCCTCCGCCTGCCCCTCCTTCCCTCCTCCTCCTCCTCCCCCTCCCGACGCTTCCTTCCTTCTCCTCCTCCTCCTCCTCCTCCTCCTCCTCCTCCTCCTCCTCCTCCCTCCTCCTCCTCCCTCCTCCTCCTCCTCCTCCTCCTCCCCCTCCTCCTCCGCCTCCTCCTCCTCCTCCCATTTCTCCCTCCTCCGCCGTTCCCGTCCGTTCTGTCCCGTCAGCCGTCCCTCCCTCCTCCTCCTCCTCCGCTCCTCCTCCTCTCTCCTCCTCCTCCTCCTCCTCTCTCCTCCCTCCCTCCTCCTCCTCCTCCGCCTCCGCCTCCACCTCCTCCTCCCCTCCTCCTCCTCCTCCTCCTCCTCCTCCTCCTCCTCCTCCCTGCATCTCTTCTCCCTCCTCTTCCTCCCTTCCTCCCTCCCTCCGTCCTCCCACCCCCTCCTCTTCTTCCTCCTCCTCCTCCTCCTCCGCCTCCTTCTCCTCGTCCCTCCTCCTCCTCCTCCTCGTCCCTTCTCCTCCTGCTCCTGGTCCCTCCTCCTCGTCCTTCGTCCTCCACAATTACTCAATATGAAAATACTCTCCCTCTTCCCCTGATGGCGTCCGGGTGATGGCCGCGCACCCTCCGCGTACTGTTTTTCTACACAGGATTCCCGGGAAATCCCGGGAAACGACTCTCGCTCAGGCGCCGGCGTCATTTTTTCCCAAAATGCTGCTCTCGTTGAGGCGCCGGCCTCATTTCTGCTCCGAATCGTTCCGAATCGTGCTCCCGCTGCAGCGTGGGCCTCATTTTCGGATCGGTGTTTGGCCTCCGTCGTTCAGGATGGCGTTCTCGCCCCAGCGCGGGCCTCTTTCTCGCGCGCCCATCCGCCCGCCACCACCGCGCCGCACCCCCGCCAACCACCACCACCACCAACCACAACCACCACCACCACCACCACCACCACCACCAACCACCACAACCGACCACCAGCCCAGCACCAAAAAAAGCACCAGACCAAACAACCAACCAGCACCACCACCTACCACCACACCACCACCACAACCATCACACCACCACCACCACCACCACCACCTCCACCACCACCTCCACCACCACCACCACCACCACCACCAACCAACCACAACCACCAATCACCACCAACCACCAACTACCACCACCACCACACCACCACCAACAACACAACCACACCACCACCATCACCACCACCACCACGCACCACCAACCACGACCCCACACCTACCACCACCACCACCACCACCACCACCACCATCACACCACCACCACCCCACCTACACACCACGACCACCACCACCACCACCACCACCACCAACCACCACCACCACCACCACCACCACCACCACCACCACCACGACAACCACGCACACACGCACGCACGCACGCACGTGCACCACCACCCACTACGCACGCGCGCGCGGAGCCACAGGTCCGCTACGACACGCGTCCGCGGATAGAGAAAATCAGCGCCATGGTTAGGGATGGGAGGGAGGGGTAGGACGTCAGATATGACGCGAGCGCACCTAGCTTGTCTCCATCCCTCCTCCTCCTCCTCCTCCTCCTCCTCCTCCTCCTCCTCCTCCTCCTCCTCCTCCTCTCTGCTCCCTCGTTGTCACGACATCACTTGTAGGATCAGCTACGACCAGCTCCTCGGGCTCCTTCTTGTTATTTTCGTGTCGATCAGCTCGGAGCGTCGTTTCCTTTCTTCCTCCTCCTCGACCTCCTCCTCCTCCTTCTCCTCCGCCCCCTCCTTCGCCTCCTCCTCCTCCTCCCCATCCGCCCTCCCTCCCTCTTCTTCCTCCTCCTCCTCCTCCTCCACCTTCTCCTCATCCTACTTGGTTTGTTGATCAATTAGGGTTCCGGCGTCCTTACCTCTTCCTCCTCCTCCTCGAATTATTTCTCCTCCTCCTCCTTTTCCTCTGCCCACTGACGCCTGAGCTGATGGATCACGGGGGAGCCGCGGGGTGTCAGCGGGAAGGCAGCAGCACGGGCTCCACGGCGCAATGCTCGACGGCCTCGCCGCGGACTTGCACCACAGGACGGCACTCAATATCGGCCCCGTCGCCGCGCACCCTCCTGGTTATCATTGTGATTGTTGGTGGTTGTCATTATACGGGGCTGTATGCATCCGTAGAGGCACGCATGCACACATACACACACGCATGCATGTGTGCATGCATGTATGTATGCATGCATGCATGCATGCATATATGTATGTATGTATGATGGTTTGTTTGTATGTGTGTATATGTATGTATGTATGTATGTATGTATGTATGTATGTATGTATGCATGCATGCATGTATGTATGTATGTATGTATGTATGTATGTATGTATGTATGTATGTATGTATGTATGTATGTATGTATGTATGTATGTATGTATGTACGCATGCATGCATGCATGCATGCATGTATGTATGTATGTATGTATGCATGTATATATGTATGTATGTGTGCATGTATGTATGTATGCATGCATGTATGTATGTATGGATGTATGTATGTATGTATGTGTGTATGCATGTACGCCTATATGTATGTATGCATTCATGTATGTACGTATGCATGCATGATTGCTTGCATGTATGTATGTGTATGTGCATATATGCATGTATGTATGTATGTATGTACGTATATATGCATGTGTATGCATGTATATATGCATCTGTATATGCATGCATGTATGCATGTTTGTATGTATGTATGCATGCATGCATGTATGCATGTATGCATGTATGCATGTATGTATGTTTGTATGCATGTATGCATGCATGCATTTATGCATGTATGCATGTATGCATGTGTGTATGTATATATGTATGTATGTATGCATGCATGCATGCATGCATGCATGTATGTATGTATGCATGCATGTATGTATGTGTACATGTATGTATGTATGTATGCATGCATGTATTCATGCATGTATGTATGTATGTATGTATGTATGTATGTATGCATGCATGTATGTATGTATGTATGTATGTATGTATGTATGTATGTATGTATGTACATATGCATGCATGCATGCATGCATGCATGTACTTATGTATATATCTACTATATGAATGTAGATCTGTATATCGATAATACATATATGTACATATTCATGTATTCATGTATGTAGATATTCATGTGTGCATGTATGCATGCGTGTATGCAGGTGGTTCGCATGCATGTATGTATGCGGGCATGCATGCATGTATGTCTGTATTTATGCATGAAAACGCGCGCCCGTACGGAACTCAATGCAAAGGGGGGACCCAGCTTCAAGCTACCCCCCCCCTTCCTTCGAAAAGGGGGTGGGAGCTTCCGAAGCTACCCCCCCCTCCCCCCTCCCTTTTGGAAGCATTTTTGAGCTGGGGGGGCCCTGGCTAATGGGGGGGGGAGCTACCCCCCCTTCCTCCCTTTTCGGGGCCAGAGGTAAGCCCGGGCTCCCCTTTATAAAGGGGGGGGGCTTCCGAAGCTACCCCCCTCCCCCCTCCCTTTTGGAAGCATTTTTGAGCTGGGGGTGCCCTGGCTGAAGGGGGGGGCGCTTCGAAGCTACCCCCCCTTCCTCTCTTTTCGGGGCCAGAGGTAAGCCCGGTCTCCCGTTTCTAAAGGGGGGGGGCTTCGGAAGTCCCCCCCCCCCTTCCTTTGCAGCCAGGATCACGCGGGGGCTCGCTATCGGGGTCGCGCGCGCGCGGCGCGGCGCGCGTTGTAGGCGCGGGCCAGTGGGCAGGCCTTTGCACATTGAGGTTCCAGGAGGTTTTTCGGCGTTTTCGTTCTCTGGGGGCTGTTTTCGCGCGCCGGGCTCGCTTGGAATCGAGTCGGAGTGACAAATCGCGTCGGATGGACACCTGGAGGAGTCCGGAGACACGCTTGAGGGGAATTCGAGGTCCAAGGTCGTCGTCGTCGTCGTCGTCGTCGTCGTCGTCGTCGTCGTCGTCGTCGTCGTCATCGTCGTATTGAAACCGCCATCCCATCTTCCCTCCATTTGTGCCGTTTGCTCCTGGTCCTCCTCCTCCTCCTCCTCCTCCTCCTCCTCCTCCTTCTCCTCGTCTTCCTCCTGCTCCTCGTCCTTTTCCACTTTGGAAAACATATACGGAGACGAATGCGGCTCAGTGCTGCGCTGCAGGCGGGTGCGCCTCCCTCATCAGGGCAATTCGCGCGGTGACTGCTTTCGGATGGGCTGGTGGGGATACCCGAAACGAGCAATTCCGGCGGTAGTGCCATCGCTCCTGAGCAGCTTTGTATGGAATCCTCCAGCGGCGACCTGTGTGTAGGTCAGACCCAAAGGTAGTGGCGGAGGTCG